TGCACTGGATGAAAATTGAAGCAGAATTTTGGTGCCTTTGCACCTGGAATAATGACACTGTGACAAAATAACTATATTTGGCTGTGCCTTAGAAAAGGATAAGGAGTGCTAACTGCAGCACAGGGGTGCAGCACTCACAGGGTTAAATACATTATCTACATTTTTAATAGCACCTCAGATGTGCAAAACTAAAATTACACTAATTAATTGTTTTTGATTTAAAGAATAAAGGGTACACTTTCAAAAGGGGCTCTGGCTCAGTTGAACTATATTATTACACATGGGGAAATGCAAACACAGTGGGAAAGTAACTTCCAAAGATCACACAACTATGTCTGGGTGATTACAGAAAACAATTCTGCCTCTTTGCTAACACAGATCCCTTTGCAACAAGCCTGGCAAGTCTGCAATACCCTTTTTATGAGCGGTGATGTGATACAAAAAAATAGCCTCATCTTAATTTTTATCCTTAACTGTCATATAGGAAAATCAACAGAATTAAGAACTTTTGGAATTAAAGTTAATCTGACAAAATTTACTGTTTTGACTAATTATGAGTAAATGATAAAAAAAAAAAAAATAAGTTTTCTAGTTCCATGCAAGGATCTTCCAAATTTTATGGATATTTTAAAACCAAGGTTTTATCCAATATTTTATTTACATCAGTATTTTCATATTACATAACACAGTCACTAGTGAATGAAGTTAACCAGAGTCTTTAACGTATTAGAAAAGTGCATGTGAAGTCAGAGTTCAGAATTATTTAGTAGTATTTTTATATCACGTTCAGATTTAGTAATATTTTTTAAATCATGTTAGTGTTCTAAGCAGAGCCTGCACAGCTATATTGGATTTGGATTTATGATGGTCAAATTTACAATTTTATGGTAAATGACTTGCACCTTTTTGATATTTCACAGGAAATTTTCATTTTTCACACACAGTTTATCAATTTTTATCACAAGTCTAATTTATCTTTACAAAAATAAGGAAAAATAATTTTGCTAGTATATATTCTCAATAATGAAGTATATGCATAATGATGAAGTATATGCATGTGTAAATACATAAGAAACATTCAAAATACTGAAATAAAAAGCAAATAAGTATGTTGGATTTTCATTAATTTTTTATATATCATCAGAATTCATTATAGCTCCTAGATAAAATGCAGCATAACCACTAAACCTCAGAAAATATGTGACCTCTAGTGGAAGAATATGAATAACTGGAAGAGAAACACTAACAAGGGAAGTAAACAGTAACATTTCCTTTTCATTTTCATTAGACAGATATTGGGTCAGAACTATCTTCTGTAATTCAAGAGAGTTATTCTTCTGCACCACTGACAGAAGAAACCGAGGATGAAGCATCAACACCAAAATTAATTGATGGGTCTTCAGCACAGGGGTCAGGGGTTCTTGGACCCCAGACTCACGATGGTTAGTAGGAAAGAAATTATTTTTGTGTGTAGCTTTGATTTTGAGCAAGCCCATTTTATTTTTTTACTGAAAATGAAGGACATCATTTCTGTATGCTTCTTACTGCAGAAAGACACAATGTGCCTATCTTGAATCCCTCAAAGTCAGATAGGTGCCAGATAGTCAAAAGGTTTCCATACTATTTCATTATAAAAAAACTGTGCCAGTGAAGATTTACAACCCAAAAATTTTCTGATCGTTGGCAATGCTACCAGTACTTGTTTTTCTGTCCTACATTATCAACTGTCTAATTATTATTTGCTACATGGTCTTATGAATATAGTCATACAAAGTATATAAAATGTTGAAGAATTTTTGACCATGGAAACTATGCACTGAAAAACTTAAGGAACGGGAGCTACTTAGAACTTTTTAATGAAAATTATTTTCAGTTCTTCTGACTATAGTGAAATAAGAATTTTATAAATCTTGCAGGAGAATTAAAATCTCAAAACATAATCTGTCCCTCTCCGACACAACTTTTGCGCTGCTAATTTTTGACATTTGTCAGAAGCTCCTCTAAATTAGAGTAGGTAAAGCTCACTCCATTGCTGTACGGGATCTTTTTGTGTTGTATGGTGATCAACATACAGTAACAGGAAAATCCTACTTTTTACTATGCCCAACACTACAGCTGAGTGCCATAGAAGAAAAATAAAATTAAAAAAAAACCAAAAAAACCCTATAAACCCCGAGAGTTCCTGCTTCCAAAATTATGTATTCATGGAAGTTAATAGTCTTATTTTGTTACGAGACAAAAATATACAGTGTCAAGAAAAGTAAAAATGGAATGAGATTACAGAAAAAAGAAAAAAAAAGTCCCATACCCCTTTTCAATTTTGAAAATTACAAGATGTTACAATATGTCCTGTAAATATTATATTTGATGAATTCTGTATCTGTCAACAGTTTTGAGTACTGAATGCAAATCAAGTAGTGCATCAACTAAAGAAATGCTCAAGACAGTAAGATATCAAATCAGATGTCTCTAGTGTCTTCGTTTTTTAAGCAACATATTTTCCTGTCAGATGTTGCTGCTATTGGCCTGGTATTGAATAGAAGAATATAAGTCTCAGTAAGAGTAAGCCAAGCTCATTTTTCTTGTTGATATATTTTTGAATCCTTCTTTTATCTCTGGTTTTTTTGGTGTCCACCAAGCACAGGTGAGAAATACCACTCCTCTAAAACTAGGACAGGGTGAAACCCTTTCCCCAAACTATGGTACTATATTCCAGTATTATGAAAAAATATCAGCCATCCTTAACTCTGTATTCATTTAGGCCTAGATTTGCTGGATTAGTTCAAAGTGTGAATATTTCTTCCCCAGTGTCAGACCTCCTCTCTGTAGCAAATTTAATCTGTCCTGTGGAGAAAGTTAGAGAAAGCATGAAAGGATCCTTATCTCTCCAGAAACTGTATTCCTGAATGCCCAAGTAGAGATTAGCACATAAAAACAAAAGAGTACTCTGGTTACTGATTCTTTAATCTTGTCTCAAAATGCACCTCAATAACCTACAAATTGGGGCAGATTAAGAAGGCACATCTCTCATGTAGCCACATCTGATATGGAGATAAAACTAATCTGCAAGAAAAACATTTTCATATTCCTGAATTATCCTACTATCCTATAAGTAGCAAGAGCAAACAACCCCATCTGCTACAAGGAGGAGGAAAACCTGAAACAGAAAAGTATTTCTCTGGGATTAAAAAATGGCAAACAGATATGCTGATTTACTCTCATAATCAAGGAAAAGATGTATCAAAAAGTCAGTGTCACAAGTGTTACAATCCAGTTATTAAAATTGTTAGAGGGATGCCTCTGCCTGAATTAAGGTGCAAATGAGACCATATGCCAAAGTGAATAGGATGGATTTTATTTAATAGTAAATGTGAGTGAGGAGAGAGAGTTAGAAAGAAATATAAAAAGGGAGGGGGAGGAGAGAAAGAGAGTGACAGTGAGACAGATTAAGTAAGAAATATAATTCATCAGCTATTATTCCTCCATCTAGGAATACCTCCACCTGCTTAAGGAGATCTTAAGGAGAAATCAACTTCTGGGTGGTTGATGTCACCAAATATTCTATTATAGTCTGAGAAACAATTTATTAGAACAAATTAACTGTTCTCCTAGGCATAAGAAGAAAAATTAATTCATTTTAAAAATATTTCAATCACCTTACTGTTGCAATTATATGATTTGGTGATCAAAGCAGAATGAGAAGTGAACCTTACCATAGACAAAGTCTGATTGTTAGGTGCTTATGTGAGCATTTCATTGTAGTAATAATTTATGTATGATTTTTATACATGTCCTTTCTAACAAAATGTTTTCTTTTAAATTCCTTGATAGGTCTTCCCACTTGCTTCTTGTGTACATGCCTAGGCACCACAGTCTACTGTGATGATCGTGACCTTGATGCTGTTCCACCATTGCCTAAGAAAACCACGTATTTCTATTCACGCTATAACAGAATCAAGAAGATCAGCAGAAATGACTTTGCTAACTTAAGTAAGGATAGCAGTATTATTGAAATCAGCCTTAATTTTGATTATTTCTGGATCATAACAACCAAAAATATAGTGATACATTTTATATAATGTTTGATTATGGTAAATTTTACACATAAATGTACATTTATTTATTTTGTTACTTTGGAGCATAAAGATCCATGTCAGATGCAGATTCTCTGCCAAACATTTGAATTATTATAAATAACAATGATCATTGATTTTTTTTGCTGTTACTTACAATCAACTCTAGAAAAGTAATTTTACCCCCCAAATATTCAATTTAATTTGGGGTTTCTTTTTTTTTTTTTTATTGGAAAAAATGCTTGAGCATATTTTATAAAAAAGTCAATATATCAAATTTCTTACATATAGAAAATTGTTTAAATAAAGAAAGGTAATGGAAATATGTTTCTTTCCCTTTGAGTGTCCTTTTTCTGAAAGATAATAATTTATAAGATTCCCAAAACACACAGAAATCTAAAAACTCAACTTTGAAGTCTTTCACTGAAAGATGTATAAAAAATGATACAGGCAGGGTTTTTTTTGTAATTTCAGGAAATACATTTTTATAAGTCTGTTGTATCTTATTTCTCTTCCAGACCATTTAAAGAGGATTGATTTGACTGCAAACTTCATATCAGATATCCACAAGGATGCCTTCCGAAGATTGCCCCAACTTCAGGAGTTGGTGCTTCGTGACAACAGGATAAGGCAACTCCCTGAGTTACCATCTACCTTAACGTTCATTGACATTAGTAAGAACAGGCTTGGTCGCAGAGGGATACCAAATGAGGCGTTTAAAGTAAGTTTGGGTGTGATGGCAAAATCTTTTCTTCCTCTTTCCAGAGGATGTGGTTAGAAGTGTAGCCTATTCTCACAAGAGAGATGCTCCAGTCCCCTAATCATCTTTGTAGCCCTCAAATGGACCTACTCAAGGAGCTCCATGTCTCTCTCTTGTCCTGTGAAGCCCAGAGCTGGACACTGTATTCCAGATGTGCCTCACCAGGGCTGAGCAGGGGGCAGGATCTCCTCCCTTGACCTGCTGGCAATACTCTTCCTAATGCACCTCAGGACTCCACTGGCCTTCTTGGCCACAAGGGCACTGCTGGCTCATGGACAGCTTGCTGTCCACCAGGACCCAAGTTGTTCTCTGCATAGTTGCTTTCCAGCAGATCAGCCCCCAGCCTGTACTGCTGTGTGGGGTTGTTATTTACCAGGTGCAGGACTCTGCATTTGCCTTCGTTGAATTTCAGATGGTTCTTCTCAACCCATCTCTCCAGCTTGTTGGGATCATTCTAGAGGGCTGCGTAGCCCTCTGGGATATTGGCCACTCCTCCCAGCTTTATGTCATCAGTCAGCTTTCTAAGGAGGCATCTGTCCCTCCACCCAAGTCATTGCTGAACATGTTAAACAATACTGGCCCAGCACTGAACCTTGAGGGACAGAATTAGTGACAGACCTCCCACTAGACTGCCATTGATTATGTCCTTCTGGGATCTGCCGTTCAGTCAGTTCTAAATCCACCTCACTCTCCACTCTTCCAGTCCACACTTCCTGAGTTTGCTAAGAGTATACTGTGAGAGAAAATGTCAAAAGCCTTGCTGAAGTCAGAATAGTTCTCCCCTCACCCACTCTGGCTGTTGTTTCATTTTAGAAGGCAATCAGATTGGTCAAGCATGATTTACCTTTAGTGAATCCATGCTGGCTACTCCTGATGATCTTCTTGCCATCCCTGGGGATGGAGATGGCCTCTGGAATGAGGTGCTCCATCACCTTTTCAGGGATCGAGGTGAAGCTGACTGGGTAGTAATTCTCTAGATCCTCCTTGACCTTTTTGTAGATAGGGGTGACACCAGCTTACTTCCAGTCCTCAGGCACTTCTCCTGATCCCTGTGACCTTTGAAAGACCACTGTGAGCAGTGTAGCTAGGGTGCTTGCCAGATTTCTCAGCACTCATTCCTCCAAGAAACACTCATTCCTCCAAGAAGTTCAATTTACCTTTTGAAATGGAATGAGAAATGTATCTTTTACTCAGGCATTTCTTACACAGTTATCATTTACTTCAACACAACACACTTCTACAAAATTGAGTAGCCTTGTCACAAAAGAAAGGAAGTAACATTATCATTAAAGTAACATCTCTAATAATTCTGTGGATATTTGAAAAACATTTTTCCCTTTCATTTTAATCTGAACATCTAACCCTTATCAGCAACATTTTCAGCCTATGCACATCAGAGTTGATGTCTTTGAATTTCTGTCTTTTTACTATATCATGAGGAAGCAAAGTATTTTGCTAACTATTGCTGTTCATTACAGTGGTAGATTTCAAACATACTTGCCAGAGGTTTTCAAAAATGTCTGTCATCTCCCCTTGTTTTTTTCATCTTCCTCTAGAATCTGGATGAACTGCAGCATCTTTATATCACTGACAATAATTTGGATCACATTCCATTGCCACTCCCTGAAAGCCTCCAAGCGCTTCATCTTCAGGTAGGCTACAAAAGAAATGGCTCCTTATATCAGGCTCCAATAATATGTACAAATGGGAAGGGCAAACTTTTTCTTGTAGTGTTTGTTCTGTTTATCCAAAAGCATTCTTACTTGATGAAACAAGCTATGGCAAACATAAAATTAACTAGTGATTGCTGTCTTTCAAAGAAGTAAAATTTAGCTCAGCTAAGCATCATTTTTCAGAATTTTTAGTACAATATTTTTCAAAAATCAAATTCTAAAATTACTATTGTCTAATAGTTTCTTTTCGAATTCTTCCTTTTAACCTTTTCCAGCTCTGTTTCTTCCCCTTTATCTCCTCTTGTACTAATTTACAGTTTTGTTTATCAGATGCTTTTACTTACTACATCATAGAGAAAAAAACATTCAGTAAGCAATGTAATGTACCTCACATTGTTTAACCTCTGTCTTTCAGTAAGTAAATTTATTGAAACTCTCTACCTGCTAGCTGGCTTGTTTTTCACTTGCTTGTGCCTGTAAAGTAAATATTAAGTGCTATGTGCTACAGAAAAAAGTTAGTGAGCTGGACATTTTCCACAGCAATTGTTGACTAGAAAAGGAATGGAGAAGGGAAGAATTTTCAGACAGCCATCATTTTAGGTAATGAACTTTTAAGTCCCAGTTTCCTGACAATGCTGTATTCCAGCAATTCATTGCTGAGAATGGTTTGCTTCAAGAATAGAAGCTCAGTGAATATAAGGCATGTAAGAGCAATCTAAATCAAAGGAGTAATACCAAAACCATTCAATTTTCCCAGTATATATATATATGTGAGTTAAGTTAATGTGAAAGGGTCTGGGGGAAGGAAATTGTCACCGATAAAATTTCAGAGTTGTACCCTGGCAGGTCGAGGCATATTAGGGTGATAATTATGTTTCTAGGACTTTTGGACTAGCCTATTGTGCATCAAATTTTGGCTTAATAAGGCTCTTCACTGTAATCTGGAAATGAAAATGCTCTATACTTCTACCAGGCTCCTCCTTCAAAGCCTGTCTCTGCTACATGATTTGAGCTACTTTGTTTTGAAGCTTTGCACTGGCCAAGAAATTTCTCCCTGCTTGGAAGATTTCTCTGTTAATGACTTGCCACCACAATCTGGGCCCTTGAGTTCAAGCAAGCATCTCTCTAGACACTAAAAATACATCCATAAATGTTTTTTCAGAGTAAAAAATTACTTTCAGATAGCAATTCTGATATCTTATTTTTTGATTGCTTGTTTTCTTTTAGAACAACAACATTCAAGAGATGCATGAAGATACTTTCTGCAAAATGAGAGATTTTACTTATGTGCGTAGGGCCCTCGAAGACATCAGACTGGATGGTAATCCCATCAACCTGAGCAAAACACCTTATGCATACATGTGTCTACCCCGTTTGCCAGTTGGTAACCTCATCTAAGCTTTGACAGCAGCCAAGACTTTCATTTGCTGTAAGAATCTCTAAAGACAAATCATTAACTCACTGCTACATTAATCTCGATGAAATTTTACAAATATCATTGATATGAGAAATATTTCTGTTAATGTTGGAATTGTTTACTGAGATACTGAGATTATTAAATGCTAAAAGACAAATCCATTATCTACCCAACTCCAAGTTATTTAGCAATATCAAGAAAAATACTTTACTACAAAAACACTGCAAATACCAAATTTTTTGCTGAATTGTTCAGACCTAATGTATGAATTTTAAATTTAAATAATTTTACATATTAAAGCCTAACTATTACATGGTAAATGAAGAAATAAAAATAAAATATCTGTACACAAATTATTATTTATTGGGTTTTGTTTTAATTAAATATTATTTTCTCAGAGATACATCCATTTTTCTACTTCTTTCCTTAAAGGTCCCTTCATTTTGGAAAAGTACCAGCAATATTCCAAAAAACATGCTTTCTTCAGAAAAGAGAATATTTCCTTGAATCAATAATGAAATATAGGGCTCAAATCTCAAGCATCAAATCTTGAACATCTATCTATACTTTTTTCAGCAATAATTTAACTTTGAAATGCTGATGAGACCCAAAGCTGTTTTCTGTATCTTTGATAAACTTGCCTGACAAATTATGTGGTAATAAAAATCTCACATAATATAGCCTATTTGAGAAATATTACATTTTATTCTGTATAGAAAATGAAAACAACCTCCCTTTGTCATATTTACATACATAAAATTTTGCAGTTCAATTCACTAAGGACCAGGTTTCAGAGACCAAGTCAAAAATCACCTTGGGGAGCTCAATATCCAATTACTTGATTCACAAAACATCTCTGCTTTACTGTTTAGCACACTTTCCAGGTAAATATTAAAAAATTTCCTTAGTAGAATAGTTTGAACAACTCTTCTCCTCTAGTGGAGGAGATTTAATACATTTCTCTAGAGAGAAAACCCCCAGGAAAGATCCACTAGATACATGTTCCTGTTCATTCTGTTCTGTGGTCACAAGCAGCAAATAAGACCTGCACATATTCAGTGATAAAGATTTGATGAAAGACTTTGGCAAAAAAAAAAAAAAAATCCCATTGAACATAACAAATCAACCTAGAAAATCTGGTATTTGTTCAATATCTAAGTTCCCTTATTCAGCTGAACACATATGCTCATTTAAAATGTAAATTTCTGTTGGGCCAGACAATGGAAACTGTTAACAGAGATCTCACTCTCCACTCTCACTGCCACTTTCTAGAAGTGAGCACACATAGAACATCAGACAGACTAAAGTCATCATGTTTTGAGCTGGGATGGAGATGAGGTAAGGACAGGATATGGAGTGATAGGATGAAGCAAGAGAGGAAGTAAACAGTGTTGAGAGCAGAGACAGGCCATTCTTGTTCTCTCTTGTCTTGTTGAAAGGCAGAGGGAGAGCAGCAAAATTTCAAAAGCCTTAGACCCTAGCTTCATTTAGTTTTATTTTCAAGCAATTCTAGCCTTTCTTTTCCATCCACATGCCACCTCCACGCCGTCATCAGTTCATCATTTTCCGAGCAGAACGTGTGCTCTGGGAAAGATAAAAATTCAAAGGTTGAGGGGGAGGTGAGGGAGAGCACTAAAGCCCCTTCCACAGTTGCTGCAGTAGGTTGAATCCTCCCCTGAGCTCTTGTACAGAGGTCAAGCTCCAAGTCATGGTGATGGATTTGCTACCCAAACTGCATCTGTTTCAGGGAAGATGCATTGTTGGAGATGGCAAACCTTGCTAACCATGAAGAGTATGATGCACCTCAATTATACAAAGGAATATGGATGTTCATCCCCAAACATATTCTACGGTGTAAATCTGCAATTGCAAGATTATTTTGCAAGATACTCTCAGATCAAGGGCAGAGAGGAAAGGGTATACTGAAAATAAAGAACAACTATTGTACTCCAGAAATCAAGAAATACTAAAGGGAATATAACCTCTCTAAACCTTGCCTTGGAAGAAATCTCCAAAATCCCAGACCTGAGCTCCCTCTCTTGTATGGTGGTCAAGTGTACTAATCTAATGCAGACCTTATTGAGTTGTGAAAACCTAACCAGGGAGTTCACAGGTTTTGAGCATATATTTTCCATTTTTTGTGTGTGTTTGTGTGTTCTTTCCCTTACCACATCAGAGTGTTACCAGAGGTAATACAGCTGCTGCTCTTCCCACTTCAGATAACCGTTCAGAGGTTAGCCAAGGTCACATGTTTGAATCATGTATGGGCCAATCTGCTACAGCTTTCTACTGCTCCTGCCCAGACACATACCAAAAGCCATGGAAGTGAACATACTCTTCTCCGTTCAGGTGCAAATTTCTGCTCCTTGGCCTCTTCTGGGAATACAATTCTTAGAAAAGCTCCTGTTTGTGAATCGCAAAAGCAAAACCAGTGTTAATTTTAAAAGAAACGATTGCTATTACATTTCATACATTTTATCTTTGAGGCAGCAGCTGTGTGCTTGAAATTTTTTAATAATGCCTGCAAGGACTATCACAGGAGAAATAAAGAACTTGTAAAAAATTTCTTGGCCTGGGGAACAGTGCTCTGAGAGCATAAGGTGTCTGAAACAGCAGAGCTATCTTACCCTTGAGATCTTCTTGGTAAATCCTGTTAAGTTAGGCTTTTTGGAGTGATGCAGCTATTGCTGCTGCTGGGCTCTGGAGATGGGAAGCATACAGGGTTACCTCAGCAGCACGATCCATTGACCAGTACAAATATTCCTTCAGCCACAGACTCAACTTGGGAGACCCATGGGAATCTCAACCATGTAATTACTTTAAGTTACAGGGAGTTGATGTTAAATGTCTAGTAAAAGATCTAAAGATCTCACCTGAAAGTAAATCCATGAAGACATGTTCTGCAGAAAGGCTGAAGCTATCAGCGCTCAACAAGGCAATGCTGACAAGTAATGGCATTAAATCAAACTCATAATTGTGAGGATCAAGCTACATGTCTAATAGACTTTCCTTGATGCAATGAAAATGAAGTGGCAATGCAGTTTGAAAGAAGTTGTGTTAGGTTAGTTAGTATGGCTGTCCAGTAAGCACTTTTGAGACCTCACTCAAAACTCATCACAGATAAGGGAGCATTATCAGCTAAATAGGCTGCTAGAGAAATCTTTGATTTCAGAAGATCCTCAAAATGCTACAACCTGACCAAGAGACAAAGAATGACTACAAAACCTGCTATAGTACACATCATAAGCCAGAAAGCTTTCCAAAAAGTCATCATTAATGAAAGCACCAATCTGCCACTTCTTACCTGGAGTTTGGGATCACAAACTGAACCTGGGAAAACATCTAGAGCCACTTTCAGCAAGAAAAGACTGTGAACTTTCCCCTTTTTTTATTTCTTTTTTCAACTTCTCTGTGGAGCTGGGCTCAGAACTGCCAATATTCATCAGCAAAGACTGTCACTATCTCTAGAAAAAAAAGGCCTTTGGCAGATTTTGTTTCACTAATGTACAGCATCAACTAATCATTTCATGGTCCTCTACTGCCATCGTGTGTTGATAAATTGTGACACTTGAAATCATTCCAAAGCCTGACACTAAGGGCAGATGAGACTTGCCTTTACTTGTTTGGTAAACAACCCTATGCACCTTTCTTTTTCCTTTCATCTTTAACGAAAGCTGAAGGAATGGAAAACTCTTTGATGACAAAAATAAAGGAACATTATGTGAATTTTTGTTTGTTTGTTTATTGTTGATGGGGTTTGGTTGGCTTTGGTATTTTGTTTGATGTTTTTTAATCAACCTAGAATATAATTTTTTTTTTAAAAAATATAAAAGAGAAAATCTCTTTTTGTATAGCATATTGCAAAGAAGTATTTTATATTTTTTTAATTCTATTTTTCTTATTTTGTATTTAAATTAGTAGACTATAAATACTATCAGAACAATTTATTTGTTGCAGAGCATGATACTATATAGATGCTCTAATCATTCAGTACAAAAACTCAGAGTCTTTGGTATCTCTCAGAAAAAAGATAAGCAGAGTTTCTGATCTAAATGTGGATAGGCATCACTCACTATGAAACAATAAGCCTGGTCTGACAGTTTCAGTGGATGGATGGAGAGCCTAAAACAATAAATAACCACCTATTCCCAGCAACACAAAATGTTCAAACTTCCAAAGACAAACACAGGCCCAAAAATTCCATGCTTATCTTTGTGTGGCGAGAATGAGGACACTTTCTTCTTCAACCTAGCTGTCATCTATAAGGTTTTTCTGTCACCATTTAAGTGAATCTAAGTGTATTTCTCTCACACATTTTAAAAAATAAAAAAGTTTTTATTTTATTTGTCCCCATCCCTGGCAGTGTTCAAGGCCATGTTGGGGCTTTTGAGAAGCCTGGTCTAGTGGGAGATATCCCTGCCCATGGCAGGAAGGTTGGAACTACTTGATCTTTAAGACCCCTTCCAGGCCAAATCATTCTGTGATTCTGTGATTTATTAGTTTTTATTCTGTATCACAAAAAGCCAAAGAGAGAGATGCTACAAATAGTACCTGGAGTTATGTAAATATACTGTGTATACAAAATTAATCTTGAGATAAGCCTGGTGTCTATCATTCTACTTGAAATACACCTTCCACACTGAAAAAGTAGGAATTCATTTCAGCAGCTGACATAAATGGCTGGATGCAGGAGTTTGCCTCAGGAGGGTGAGAAAGGCTTTTTGCGGGTGCTGATTTTCTGTGCCAGCTCGTGACAGCTCTTTAGTCCTTCCACACCCTCCTTCACCAGGTGCCCAGGACAGATTTCTCTCAGTTCCACCAGGTGTTGGGAGGGAAGCACAGACCAGGGCTGGCGATGTTATCAGGGCCAGAGATCGGATTTGTTTCAGCGAGGCCTGGCCTGGGCCTGCACGGCAGGGAGCCCCCTACTGACTGAGGGGCTGTGCCCTTGTCACCAGCTCCATGTCACCACCGAGCGCCACCAGCTCCTCCAGGCTGAGTGGCAAGGCAGGCTGTCACAGAGTGCCCACACAAAGAGCCTCTGCAGGACAGCAGGGTGTCGGCATGGAGAGGGCAAGGTACAAAGCTGTCTCACAGGCCTGCCAGTTAAACACCCCCCATGGGGCCATCGCTGAAGGGCCAGGCCGCGGCTGGAGGGAAAAGCAACCCCAGCACGGTCACCCCAGCCGTGCCGTGATGCTGGCGACAGTCGCTGCTGGCCAGCACAAGAAGGCACAGCAAGGTGAGGACAGGGACAAGAGACCAAGGCAGTACCAGCAGGTACAGGCCAAAGACATGCTCATTGTGCTCCTGTGTAGCAACAGGGCTGGCAGGGTCAGGAGACAACAGCAGGAATGGAAGCACAGGGGCGGAAGGCACGTTAACGGAGACAATCAGCCAAGGCAACAGAAGAGAGAGAGGGACCTCATGGAGCAGGACTCCTGGGCATCTTCCTCAAATGGCTGTGAAAGACAGGGTGGCCAGCACAGCAGTCCTGTACATGGGCCACAGCAGAAGGAACCTGGGAAGGCACTGTGGCAAGGTCACGACTGCAGCAGGAATTGGACGCAACAACTGCTACATTGCACTGAGCCCCTCCACCAAGACCAGGCAGGTGAGCAGAGTGGCAGTGAAGAAAAGATAGAACTGCTCTGGAATGCGAAGAAGCGCTGCTGGATCACAATGTCACATTTGCCAGCAGCAATACGTCAAGAGGCAAGAACGCGCCTCCGGCCCATGAACCTGGCAGGGTACCGCCTGCCAGGGATGTGCACACCCCACAACACCAACCAGTACTTCATGGGCCACTGCAAGTACATGAAGATAGACAAAGAAGAAGAGGCAGTGGAGGTGTCTGGAGAAGTTAGCGACTGCAGCACTGAAGATGAGGATTTCCCTCTGGTGGCTGCTTTCCCTTCCACAGATCAATAGGCTGAAGGCACATCAGCAGAAGGGGAGGAGAAGAGCACACAGCCTCCTAGCCAAGACTGCAAGTGCCAAGACGTATCTTGTGTGAAACCCAAACCGGACTGACAGCACAAGGAAAGTGTCTGACTTGTAAAATCACCAGCTATTAAGAGCAGGGAACTGCTTGACATTCAGCTCCCTAAATAAATATATATATAGGTACTTCTAACCCTTCTGCTTACTGTCTAATGATTCACATAAACTAAGAGAGGCCTGGCAGAATAAGAACCAGAAAAAGGTTAGCATTGCACGTGCCAAAGCAGTCAAAAGTGCTACCCCAGAGATTATTTCTAGAAATCCTCTGTTCCCCTCAAGTACATATATCCCATTCAGGAAGGTTTTTAAGTACATTATTATGCTATACAGAAAAGAGAAAGCCTAACTAGATGATTAAATTTTTTTAAAATCCCAGCATGTATTTCAGCAAACATTAGAATGAGACTTATTTGAGCGTTAGTAAAAAAAAAGAGTACTTGTTAGATAAATGTACTTTTTTCTATAAACAGACACTACAACCTGTTTATCAATGACTGAAGCATGCATTTGCATATATACACATAAGCAAATTAAATGCATTGCAAAAACAAGAGAAAGAGAACAAAAAAGTCCCATTTAGATCAAAACCATGCACCCTGATTTGTCATGAATGCTCATATAGTTTTCCTCTTAGAAGATGTCAAGAAGAGGCAGAGGCTTGATAATATGTCATTTGCTTTTTAAGGTGGCTGAAATGATAGCCATGGAAACCATCACAAATAGACTAGCATTTCCAACAATCAAAAACTCTTGGCTTAAGAAGCTGCTCGAGAGACAATGATGCTGACATCAGCTAGCAATTTAAAATATGGAGAAGGAAAAATGTTAGTGGGAACGGTTGTGGATCTGATCCTTATATTTGTAGCCAAAGATAAAATGAGGTGCCATAAGCCTTTTCTAACTTTCCTCTAAGATTTAAAACTCAGTTTGTTATACAGGTATTCAATTTTTCATGTTTCTAGTGAAACAAACCACTAAAAAAACATAAATAAAATCAGTATTAAATACAATGTTGCTATAGGTGATGATAGGCTTTCTGTGAAAAGCAAATATATATAAGTATATATTTGTATATATAAATATGCATATTTAAATTTCTTGAATACTTATAAAATTAAGTGCTTACCTAGATCTGTGGATCTATTTTTTTTATTTGGGCTTCTTTTCTTCAACTAATTTTTAAAAATCCTAAATTCTCTTCCTGAAGTTCACCTTTAAATCTCATAATGCTTTGATACTTTTTGCTCTTCATCCTTCACGCTCTTCTTCACTGCTAGATAATAGAAACCTTCTTAAGCCATTAGAGCTTGAAAATTCAGCAGATGCAAATTAATTTTGCATCAATTAAGAGATGCAAATCTCTTATTTTTCAGAAAGCCTAGTTTTTAGCTCCCATATCCTGACATAGGCTGCAAGATGATATCATGGACTGTAACAAGATAGGGTGGTGTTGAGAGAGGGAGAGAAAGAGAGAGGCAATAAAGCAAGAAAAGCTTTCTATGCCATAAACTAACGAGCAGAAGTTTATGCTAGACTTATCAAACCCTTGCTTAATTGAAAACCATGTTACTAAATTTATTCTTCAATCAGTGTAATTTTCTTCCTTTTTACTGTCTGTAAAAATTACTTCAAATTCACTAATCATGAAGAAAACAATTTGAATAAATGTAAGGTTTACAGTCTCATTAGAATATCTCCTTTTGGTATATTTTTGTCTTTGAAATACAATAAAAACCTTCATAAAATTTTGGCTTATCAAAAAGCATCTTGATAGACTGAAGCAGTGGGCAATCTTTAATGGGATGAAGTTTCACAAGTACAAATGTCATATTCTGCACCTAGGAAGAGTAATGCTGGACACAAGTATAAACTGGGAGAAGAGTGGTTGGAGAGCAGCTCTGCAGGAAAGGATATGTGGGTGAGGGCAAAACACATGGGGGGGCATCACTGCATGACCAGCTGGGAAAAAGAGGGGATGGTCCTGCTGTACTCAGTGTGGGCTTCCCTAGAGCACTGTGTGCAATCCTGGGTCCCCAATTTGAGAAAGTTGTTGAGATCCTTCAATGCATTCAGAGGAGGACAATGAAGCTGAGGAAAGGGGTGGAAGGCTGAGGACTTTGGGCTTGTTTAATTCAGAGAAGAGGGGACTGAGAGGCTGTCTCATTGCTTTGTACAGCTTCCCAATGAAGGGAAGTGAAGAGGGAGGTGCTGGTTTCTTTTCCCAGGTATCCATGGGAACAGTCCACATCTGTGCCAGGAAGGTTCTGCCTGGACATTGAGAAGCATTTCTTTACTGAGAGGGCAGTCAAACACTGAAAGAGACTTACTAGAGAGGTGGTCAAAGCTCCAGGCCTGACAGTGTTTAAGAGGCATTTGTATAATGGCCTTAACTACACGCCTTAACTTTCAGTCAGCCCTGGAATTGTCAGGCAGGTGGACTAGATAATCATTGCAGGTCACTTTCAACTGAAAATATTCTATTCTGTTCTGTTCTGTTCTGTTATGTTCTGTTATGTTATGTTCTGTTCTGTTCTTTTCTGTTCTGTTCCGTTCCTTTCCATTCCGTTCTGTTCCGTTCCGTTCCATTCTGTTCTATTCTGTTCTGTTATGTTCCGTTATGTTCTGTTCTGTTCTTTTCTGTTCTTTTCTGTTCTTTTCCATTCCATTCTATTCCATTCCATTCCATTCTGTTCTCTTCTGTTCCATTCTGTTCTGTTCTGTTCAGTTCCGTTCCGTTCCGTTCCATTCCTTTCTGCTCTGTTCTGTTCTGTTCCGTTCCG